CATCATGTCATCATCCATCCATTCATCCACTAAGTATTTATTGAGCAAATACTATGGACCAAACACCACTCTAGACTCATCATCATAATAATGATGACAATAATAGTTACACATAGTGAAAGAGCAGCGGACATTTCTCTCCTTCTCTGCTCCCCCAAAACAATCCTTAGAAAGTTCACTACACATAGACATGGTTCCTGGAGGAGACAGGATTTGGGGGGCTAGTTTCCTGACTGGCACTGAAGCTGGAGGCAGCAGGGACACAAGAACCCAGGTCAGCAAGGGCACTGGGCAGGCCCCGTGTGTCTAGGTGACACATGGACGGTGAGATGGGCTGAGGCCACCTCTGCAAGGAGACAGGGAGGGTGACCACGTGGTGCCGCTGAGGAGTGAGGGACTGAGAGGCTGACGGGCAGAGGTGGAGGGAGGCACTTCACCCCACACCCTTTGTACCTTTTGAATTTGAGCCACATGACTCCACCACTTATTCAAAAAAAAGAATTAAGCCCAGCTGCTGTGGCTCAGTGATTGAGCATCGACCTATGAACCAGGAGGTCACTGTTTGATTCCTGGTCAGGATACATACCCGTGTTGCAGACTCAATCCCCAGTGTGGGGTGTGCAGGAGGCAGCCGATTCTCTATCATTGATGTTTCTATCTCTCTCTCCCTGTCCCCTCTTCTCTGGGATCAATAAAAGTATGTTAAAAAACAAAGAATTAAAACAATTTGGCCTTTTGCCTCGTTGCTTCAGAGAGAGCAAGAGGGGTGGGTCACCAGCAACTCTACTGCAGCCATCGGAGAAAATCCAGCCGGGTTCTCGTTCGTACGGGAAGGTCACAGGCTCATTAAGCTGGACTGAGTGGACGTCCAGGAATGGGTCATTCAGGACAGCTACCTGCCTGCAGCGTGTGATCTCTTTGTATATAAAATTTTAAAACTGCAAATAATAATAATAGAAATAACAACCACCAATTTGGGACTTTGAACAAGAACGGTTCTCGTTAAGGGGACTGCAGGTGTGGAACTGCGCTTTCTTGTTTGGGCTAAGATTGCACATGGGAGGTCATCTCCCTTCTGGAATCTATCTCAAAGGCATATTTAAAAATGCAGATCGCCCAGCTGGCATGGCTCAGTGGTTGAGTGTCGACCTATGAACCAGGAGGTCACGTTTCAATTCCCGGTCAGGACACATGCCTGGGTTGCAGGCTTGATCCCCAGTGTGGGGTGTGCAAGAAGCAGCCGATCAATGCTCTCTCTTATCATTGATGTTTCTATCTCTCTCCCCCCCCCTCCCTTCCTCTCTGAAACCAATAAAATATATTTTAAAAAAATGCAGATAACGTTTGACGGACAAGGATGTTCACTGCAGTGGGATTTACAGTCGCCCCAAACTGGAAACAAATGGTGAGCAATACCGCTTGTCACACGGCCGGCTCCTCCCCTAACTCTGCCTCCCAGTGATCGTCGCTTGTACTGCTGTGCCCAGGCTCAGTACAGAACGTGTGTTCAGTAGAATTTTGTTAATGATCGAGTGGGTCAGGAAATATCAGTGCTATATAAAATTGGAAACATTCAACCATTTCTGGCCTACAAAGGAAGCATGTTCAGATATTTAATCTAATGCAAACCCAGGATCACAGATCGGTCCAGGTAGAGTTGCACATGTCCAAATGATGCAGAGACAAAGATACTCACTGGATTCATTGGAGCCTTGTCTGAAATGGGGAAATGACTGGAAATAATCTAAATGCATGCCATAAAGGGACCAGGTAAATGAATGGAGACTATGCAAGTGTTTTTTTTTTTTTTTTTAAAGAAAAGAATGAGGAAGGTCTTTGTGTACTGATATGCAAAGGTCTCTAGGGTTTGTGGTTAAATGACAAGAACACAGAACAGCAGGTAGCCTGTGCTCCCCTGTTGGGGAAAAAAAGAGAAATTACAGGTATTTGCCTAAAGAAACCCCAAAAGAAGGCACAAGAAATTAATAACTAGCGGGCCAGGTGTGAGAAGGAGGCCACAGGGCACGAAGGTGGGAAGACCTTTTCACTGAATGCATTTTTTAAAATTATACTTTTATTGTGCATCTGTGAATGTATCACCTACTTAAAAAATAAATTAGTAATGTTTCCAGAGATTTCTGAGGGAGGGCCAGGCATTGCTCTAACTGCTTTTACATAAACTTCAAGTTAATCCTTTAAAACAACCGTATCATTCTGGTTATCATTCCCATGTTACAGAGGGGGAAGCTGAGACACAGAGAAGCTAAGCAGCTCATGAAGGCTGTGAAATTAGAAAGTGACAGAGCTGGGATTTGAACCCTGGCAGTCTGTGAGTGTATAGTCCCATGACCTTAACTCCTCCGCCAAATCCCTCCAGGTGCCTGCTTGTGATGTAAGGTTAAACTTTACAAACATACAACAGGAGAATAAAGAGATGGGAGGGTAGATATTGCCCACAGAGTGGAAGATGTAATACTGTCGAGACGTGAACTCTACACAAACTGATCTACAGGATCTGTGCCATCCCAGCTCAGACCCAAAGGTGTTTGTGAAAAGGCACAGAGAGATGCAAAGGACCAAGATATCAAAGACGCGTGTGATGAAGGGGGTAGGGTTTGCTCTGCTGGATACCAAGCCCTATTCTACAGCTACACTGATGAAGACAGAGAAGTAGGTCAGCAGACCAGACTAGTCCAGAAACATCCCCGCACATACACAGTCACTTGATTTATGTGTGGCCACAGCAGAGCACTGAAGAACGGACAGTCTTTGCAACAAAATGTGCTGAGACAACTGGGTATCCACATGGGGAAAAAAGAAACTTGACTCCTCTTCACAGCATCTGCAAAAACCAGTTCCAGGAAGACTGTCCTGAGCTCAGTGTGCAAAACAAAACAGAAGATCTTTTGGAAGAAAATAAGGAATGTCTTCATAATCTGGTGGACAAGAGTCTTCTCAATAGTGCGTGCACACACGCACACACACCCTTAAAAGAAGACTGCTGAATTGGACTGCATTAAAATGAAGACTTTCTGTTCATTAAGACACCACGAAGAGGGATGGAAGTCCAGCCCCAAATGGGAGAAGATACCTGTAACCCACACAACCAACCAGGGGCTCAGAACCAGCGTATACACAGAGCTTCTACACACCGAGAAGGAAAAGATGGAACGAATAAGAAAATGGGGCAAGGGGCTTGAACCGGCACTTCACACAGAGGACGTCCAAATGGCCAACAAGCGTACGTGAAGGTTCTCGAAGGCAGGAGGACGCAGGGACCCTGGAATGAGAATTATGAAGACAGGCTCCGCCGAGGACTGGGGGGCACGTCGAGGCACCAGGCGCCCTGCTCTGCTGGGGGGAGGCGCTCATCCTGAGATTAGGAGATTCTTTCCTCCTTCTTCACACATTTCTGTACATTCCAAAATTTTACACGGAGTGTGTACTATTGTGAAGACCAGAAAGCAATGGGGGAACATTTCAGGGGAAACAATAAACATGGAAGAATGGATGCCTGGGGCACAGTCTTCCCGAAGATCAGCTCGATCTGGGTCTCTCCCTCACACACAACAAAGCAGAAAGTGCTGGAACTGGACAAGCTCACAGTAGGCCCCTCTGGGCTATCCCTCGGCCACGTGGACTAGCCAAGGGGACAGGCCTCTATCCTAGGGAGCAACCTGGTCCAACACTCCCCTTACCTGTGGCCCATCAACCTTCTCTGAACCTCAGTGTCCTCATCTGGGAAAAAATGGGAAGCAGCATCCCGCTACCCACAGGGCCAAGTAGCTGAGCAGATCAGATGGCATTGGGTGTGAGGAGAGATGGGAACCTAGACCCAGCGGATTCCAACAACTAGTTTTCAGCTGGTAGGGCCTTCCCAGTTCACCATCTAGCTCAGTGGTTCTCAACCTTCCTAATGTCACGACCCTTTAATACAGTTCCTCATGCTGTGGTGACCCCCAACCATAAAATTATTTTCGTTGCTACTTCATAACTGTAATTTTGCTACTGTTATGAATCGTACTGTAAATATCTGATATGCAGGATGTATTTTCACTGTTACAAATTGAACATAATTAAAGCTTAGTGATTAATCACAAAAACAATATGTAATTATATATGTGTTTTCTGATGGTCGTAGGCGACCCCTGTGAAAGGGTCGTTCGACCCCCAAAGGGGTCGCGACCCACAGGTTGAGAACCGCTGATCTAGCTGCTCCGTCGCAAGTGCTGTGCGTGAAGGTGAAAATGTTTCCCGTCTGCACCATCCAGTGTGGTCACCACTCGCTGCCTGTGGCTGTGAACACCTGACAGAAGGCTAGTGTGACTGTGACTTCATTTTAATCAATTTAATTTATCAAACAGCTGCACAGGGCTACTAGCTAAGGCACTGGAATGAGAGTGGCCGTATCTCCACTACATCTTTTCAGTGTGTGAACTCATGTGCTACGTGCGGGACTTGTTTTTAACTAGGACGAGAGAACAAGACGACGAAGGAAACTGTATGCATGCTGCGTGTTATCTGCATTAGCCTTTCCCCTTTTCAGAGAGTTCTTCAGGAAAGGAGATTCGCTTGGCCATCTGTCCCGGGGCTTAAGGGCCCCTTCTCTCAGGAGCGGCCCCATGAGGCTGGGGGCAGGTCAAGGACCTTCTCGGGTCTGGCTTCTGCACAGGACTCCACCCCAGCCCTCCCCAGGCTTGTCCCTGCAGGGCTGCGGGAGTCCTTGCCCAGGGATGGACCAGGCTCAGAAAACAGGAGGCTCAGATGGCTCCGGGGAGGCACGTCCTTGGCCCCTTCTGGCCTCCCTCCTTCCAGGAGCACCCATTTCCTGCGGCGACCCGCAAGACACGTCCCACTGTGACCCCGGCCTCAGGCCCTGCCTGCTGCTGACTCAGTGGTTCCCCATCCCCTGGGGAAACGGGAAGGAGATCACAGGCCTCTCCTCCCCACCTGACACTGGGCTGAGAGGGGAGACGTGTCCCACGGGGGACATGACTCACCCCTCCTGCTGGATCTCCGCTCGGATTTCTCTTTTCCTCACCCTGGGGGTCTGGGGCCTGACCGAATCCCCCTCTGCTCCTGATTTCAGTGTCTGTGAAATGAGGCTGAGGACAGTATTGAGCCCAGAGGGTTGCTGCAAGGGCAGCGTGGCCCACAGAGCTCACGACGGCTCCATGAATGGTCACTGCAGACAGCATTCCTCCTGGATGGCTGGGAGAGGGCAGAAAAGGCGTGGCCCTGGGAAGGGAGCTGGAGTCTGTTCTAGCCTCTGCCACAGGCTTGCTGGGTGTCCTCGGGGAAGTGTCCCTCCCTCTCTGAGCCTCGATCCCTCAGTAAGGAAATGAGCAGAAGGATACTCACACCCCCCTGCTTCAGAGCTTGCTGGAAGGGTGACACATGACCAGTGTGTGGGGGATGTGTTCTGACCAAGTGAACCCCCATTTCTAAGCTGGAGGGGGGTCTGGCACCGAGCCAGCCCAGGGGCTGAAGGCAGTGATGCCTGACAGCGGCCTCCCATGGGCAGGCTGTGGACTCACTCGGCCCCCGCCTGCGCCTTGCAGGAAACGACTGCAGCGTCACATTCCTTCCACCCCTGGTGACACTGAGTCACCCTGCAACCCACCTAGCAGTGTGGTGACCACATTTCCTCTGTGGGGGGAGGAGCCGTCATGTGCACATGCAGTCCTGATGCCGCTAAAACAAAATGGGCCCGAAATCCCACCCTCAGGGCGCATCTCTTGTAGGTTTTTGTTCCCTGTTACCATGGGCACCCCCTGCCCTGGGGGCACCGCTTGGGCCCCAGCTCGAGGGAAGCCACTGGTAGGAGGTTCCCAAGAGCAGGAGGCTGGAGGAGGCGAGGACACTGGCTGGTAAACGTTGGGGTCCTTAGGGCGCTGGGGGGGGAGAGAACAAGGAGCTGTGAGGAGCAGTGCCCACGCCTGACAGGCACCGTCCCCACACCCAGTGGCTGCAGGGGCAGCTGGGGCTCGGAGAGACTGGTGGGTGGTGCTGGACTTCCTCATCTGGTCCATCCGGCCAACTCAGGGGGGGGCTGGGAGGTCACCCCCTCGGGGACACTCGGAGGCTGGGGGAGGTCCCAGCAGGCACACCAGGATAGAGGGGCGCAGCAGGGCCCTGCAACCTTGGGGTGCAACACAGGGCTGCAGGGAGTTCTGGGGCTCAGGACAGAGGTCCCCGACTCGGACAAACCTGGATTCAGGTCCTGGCTCTGCCACTGATAGCGGGGAGCCTCGATCAAGTTGCTTATGGTGCCTCAGTTTCCTCGCCTGTACATCGGGCCCTGTAACCCCAGCCTCACAGGCTGTGACCATTAACAGATAAAGCTCTTAGTCAAGGGGCCTGAAGTCAGCCCGCGAGACATACTTGCTGTCATTGTAAGTGTCCAGTCTCTGAATGCCAACAATCCCCACTGTACATTGGCCTCGATCGATTCTTCTATTAGATTCTTCTATCAGAATCACCGGATATGAAATCACACTTTTTCCTGGGAACTGTCCTTTCCTTGAATTTCACTGGAGGGGAGCAGGGACCGGGCTGAGAGAGTGGAGGGACAGTGCATATCGCAAGGACGTGTGCATTTTAAAGAAAGACCCTACATAAGACGGGCACTTCTTCACCCAGAGGGTTGAACTGCTGATCGGGGGCGCGCAGACAGCGCCGGGCAGAGATCTGGGGTCGTTTACCTCCATGATGGAGATGTAGCCACTCTCATTCTTTGGGGGCAGTTGTGTTCCATGAAGTCCCCATGAGCGCTGAATTAGCAAATTCCGAACCATCGTGCCAGGGAAGGCACAGGGGTAGGTTCCTGCCAACCTCTGATCACATTTTTGTCAACGGATCAACACACCACCTGGTTTTGTGTGTATTTCTGTTCAAAGACACCTTATTTAGCATGTGTCATCGATTCATTAATACTGAACTCACAACCGACAGCACAGGTAACTCGGGCCTGACCGCAGCTTATCCAACACACGTGTCCTCCGGGCGGCCCCGTGCAGCCTTCTCGCTTTTACCAACACTGGACAGCACTTCAGTACCAGACATGGTAGACCTTTTCAACAGCAAAACCATCCGCAAAAGGCCTACAAGTGTGAAACACGCGGCTCTAGCTAGACCCCGACAGGGACACTTGTTTGAAGTGTGAGCACTAGGCCAGGGAGGCTGGGCGTCCCCTCATGCGGCCTCAGGTGGGGGCGTGCGTGTCAGGAGATTCACATTTTTCCTCATCGGCCACGTCTGCAAGTGACTCCCCAGGCACTACACTTTGGGGGTAACAAATGCATTTTGGCAAGTAGGCGAGTTTACAGATTCTGAACCTGTGTGTCATGAGGATGGACTGCAAATGTCCCTTCATGAGGCTGGCACCCCTCGTGGCCAACCTGGACACAGACCCTGGTCTCAGAGCAGGGCTCTCCTCCGACACTGGGAGCTGCTGTGCCATTTAAACTTGAACCCTCCCCACCCCCGCACACTCCCCGTGGTCCAGGCCAGGCGACCAGTTCATCGGCGACTGTTTAGCTGCCGAGGCTGCCCGGCTGCCACGCTGGCCAGTTCCTGTCGGAGGCAGAGTTTATATTTGGCCGGGAAAACAGAGGAAGATATCTGCGGCAGCTTTGGGGGAGCCTCTGCCAGCCCTGAAACCTAGGGGTGTCCCGAGAGCCACTCACCTGGGCTTCCCCTCATTGTGTCATGAGCAGGTCACACAATCTTAAGTTTTTATGAAGAGCCTACTGTGTGGGGGCTGTTGCGCCACACGCTCCTTGCACTGAGCCCAGCACACAGTGGGGCTCTGTATGAACGGAGGAAGCAATGACCAGGTCAGGGAGCCAGCTCCAGGTCTCACAGTAAGTCAGGACAGGCCTGGGAAAGGACGGGGGTGCACATGAGGATGCCCCCCACAGCCCCCCGGGTGGCTCATGGCCAAAGAAGCGAGTGGAGTGGACTCAGGGGTATGGAGTAAGAGCCACTCAGAAGACCAAGGACTACATTCCTTAAACACCTAGTGAGTTGAACTCTGTTCAAGCTCCTTACGTGGATTAACTCATGGAGCACATCAACAGCACTATGAATTGGGCATTGTAGGCACCCCCATTTTACAGATGAGAAAACTGGGGCACAGAGTGGAATGTGAACTCTGACAGTTCGATCCAGCGCCTGCACCCATAACCCCTATGCTGTTCTCTTCCACCTCTCAACGTCCACACGTCCAGAGAGCCATGCTGAGCCACAGCAGCCATCCTCCCCTGGGGAGACGGAGGACGGGCGAGCGGGTGGCAATAAAGGTGGCCTCCTTGGCCCCGTGGTGCTCACCCCATCAGCACCAGGTCTGTCTACTCTACCTCCACACGTCCAGAGAGCCATGCTGAGCCACAGCAGCCACCCTCCCCTGGGGAAACAGAGGGAGGTAATAAAGGTGGCCTCCTTGGCACTGGGGTGCTCACCCCATCAGCACCAGGTCTGTCCACTCTACCTCCTAGATACACCCCCGTGGGGCTGCTTCTCCCTGTCCCTGCTGCCGAGAGCCTAGGCCAGGCCACCATCACGCTGGCCTGGACCCCTACAGTAGCCTCCTTCCAGTCTCCCCGTATGCCCCCCCCTACCCCATGCCCTTCTTCCCACAGCAACCTGAATGCAAGCCAGCCCATGCGGATCCCCACGCAAAACCCTATACCCTCGACGCAAATGTTCGCAGCGGCTTTGTTTGTAACTGCCCCAAACTGAAAACAACCCAGATGCGCTGCAGCGGCTGATGGCTAAGCAAACGGCGATGCATTCAGCGAAGTGAGAGGAGCCAGGCTCACAGGCGGCTTTCACCTGGCTTTCTCCAACAGGCAGGACGCAAGGATGGAGAAAGGAGTGACTGCCAGGGTTTGGGGGGCCCGGACGGGGCTGACGAGAGAAGGGCACAGGGGAGTTTTGGAGGGGGACGGACTGCCCTATATCTCGATTGTGGTGGTGGTTCCGGGACTGTCTACGTTTGCCAAAAAGGGCAGAAATGTACGCTCAGAAGCGTGAATTCCATTTTTATATTTATTTTATATATTTAAATGCCATTTAACAAAGAAAAATCAACCAAAAAAATGAGTTCGAGTGTCACCTCTGACACGCATGTCATAGGTTCGCCATCACTGCCCTATACCCTCGACGCAAATGTTCGCAGCGGCTTTGTTTGTAACTGCCCCAAACTGGAAACAACCCAGATGCGCCGCAGCGGCTGATGGCTAAGCAAACGGCGATGTGTCCACGGAGGACATTCTCTCAGCAATAAAGGTGCCCCACCCCGACACGCACAGGAGGGACGGTCCCCAATGCGTTCGGCGAAGTGAGAGGAGCCAGGCTCACAGGCGGCTTTCACCTGGCTTTCTCCAACAGGCAGGACGCAAGGATGGAGAAAGGAGTGACTGCCAGGGTTTGGGGGGCCCGGACGGGGCTGACGAGAGAAGGGCACAGGGGAGTTTTGGAGGGGGACGGACTGCCCTATATCTCGATTGTGGTGGTGGTTCCGGGACTGTCTACGTTTGCCAAAAAGGGCAGAAATGTACGCTCAGAAGCGTGAATTCCACCCCGTGTACATCTTAGTTTGTGGGTGTGTTGTGTCTTCCCGAAAGACATGTTGAAGACCTCAGAAGGCGGCCTCATTTGGAAACAGGGTCACTGCAGGTGTAAGTAGTTAAGATGAGGTCATCCACTATGACCAGTGTCCTTTGAAGAAGAAACACAGACACACAGGGCGAAGGCAGTATGTGACCGTGGAGGCAGGGACTGGAGTGGCACAGCTGCCAGGCAAGGGACCCCAAGGACCGCCCAGGGCCACCAGAGCTTGGAGGAGGCAGGGAAGGGTTCGCCCAGAGTCTCAGAGGGCCGTGGCCCTCAGCTGCCTCGCCCTGGGACTTCCTCTGCTGTGTGAGCCTCCCAGTTTGTGTAACTTGGTGACAGCGGCCCTAGGAGACGAATACATAACTCAATTCAAAAAATGAGGGAACAGCCCTGTCTGGTTTGGCTCAGTGGACAGAGTGTCGGCCTGTGGACTGAAGTGTCCTGGGTTGGATTCTAGTCAAGGGCACGTGCCTGGATTGCAGGCTCCATCCCCAGTAGGGGGTGTGCCGGAGGCAGCCGATCAATGATTCTCTCTCATCATTGATGTTTCTATCTCTCTCTCCCTCTCCCTTCCTCTCTGAAATCAATAAAAATATATTTTTTAAAAAAATGGAGGAACACATCTGTCTCAATCTTCACGGCCTTCCGGCTACGGCCTAAGAGCCTCGGCTGTCTGGTCCCCTCCTGCACGGCCCACCCTCCATCCACGCAGAGCGTCAGGCGCACAAGCCCGCAGCCCCCGGCACGGCCACGCTGGCTCCCCCCCCTGCCCCACGTTCACCTGGGAAACTCCCAGCACCGCTCAGCTCGGCTCTCACAGATGCTGCACGAGCGTCCTCGGCGTGGATCGCTCTGTGCCACCGCAGCAGGATCTGGCAAAGGCAGCTCCCTCTCCCTGGAGTCCCTCCCTCTGCCCTCAGGAGCGGACAGCCTAGCGGAGTCACAGAAGAAGAACATTCTCAAAGCAGGGAAGCTATGAGGGTGCTGCTGGGTCTTCTGCTGGCTGGGGTCCCTGACAGCCTATGTGGCACCTCCGTGTCAATTAGAAAAGGTGCTGCTTGCTCCCTGTGGAGGTGGGTC